TGCTGATTTGGGAAGCAGTGCCCAGCATCTGCCCAACCCACAGAAGTCTGCTGCCAGTGCTGTTGGCATAGATGCACTAACAAGTACCAAATGCCTCCAGAATTTGAAAGAAACAAGTAGTCTTGCTGCTGTGTGGCTCTAGTTATCCAAACACTTGATTGAGATTGAATACACCTGGTGAAGTAAAACTCTCTCTAATTAGGGTTAAAAGTGTGTTACATTAGAGTTATTTTCCTTTAAAATGTATAAATAGTTTTTGCTCCTGAGTAAGATTTAGTAAGTCATGTTACATTTATCTTTGGAAACCTTCATGCCAACTATACCTTGACTTTTCAATGTCTTTCTGCAGCCACACAAAGTAGGAAGTTGTGCTTTTCCCTCTTTCATTTCATATTTGCACTCACAGGCGCTCTTCTAAGCCATCATGTTTACATTTTCTTCCCCATCACTGTGGCCACCCAGAGTTCGCTAGCTGGGTCAGAGAAAGCGAGGAATTATGGGTTTTTTTCAGCGTGGTTGTGTTTAGTTCATATGATGCAACATTGTCCTCAGGATGTAACGGTCAGTTTGACTTCTTTACAAACACCAAGCAAATATGTGAGAAAACGTTTTACAAGCCGCGAGAGGATTCTTGGTGGCTCTTGGGAGAGCGGAATAATTTTCTTTGGCTCATGACAGTGAGGGCTAGACTGCACTGCTGACTGTAGTGGTGTATGAAGAACAGCCTTGTAAGCAGGAGAGGTCACCATAGACTGGGCTCAATTACTGGTTTTCCACGTCGTTTTATTGCATTTTCTTTTATGCAAACTTGAAAGGTATTTATTTAGGTTGCTGCTGACACACCTCTACATCTGCAACCTTCAGACTCATGTAAGGAGCTTGCACTGTGTCTGGGCTGTAAGCAGGGTCTTCTGTTTCCACAGACACTGTGGCATCCCACAAGAGTGGGGCATGGAAGGATGTGTATTTTTCATTTTGATTTTGAGAGGAAGGATATTTTTATGATTTTCCATAGATTAGCAGATGATTAATGGAAAAATATTTGCAAGGCACGTATGTATTTGAGTTACATTTCCTTATTTTAAATTGTCAGTGTTACTAGAAATTGCAATATATCCATAGCAGAATCTGGTGTTTCTGTAATTTTTGGTTAAGACACTGAGGATCAAGAAATAGGGAATGCTTTGAAGCCCAAGGATGATCTTTATTTTTTTTTAACTTGGCTGTTCCTTCTACTGGACAAAAAAAAAAGTTATTATTTCTCCCAGTACTTTTAGGATTTTGTGTTAGGAGGGAAAAAAAACATCAAAGTCTTAAACATAAGGTCACATCTTTTTCTATATAGTACAAATTTGCCATGAGTTAAAGACATTAAGTAAATTGCTTATTGTTCTATTAAAAAATACTTTAAAGTTTGCTGGTGTTGTGATGGCATTAAAATTCCCAAAGGAATTTTGTAACCCTTCACTACCTACAACTACCTGAAAGGAGGTTTAGTGAGGGGGTGTTGAAAGCATGAGAGGAAATGTCCTTAATTTGCACTGGGGAGGTTCAGATGAGATATTAAAAAAAAAAAATTCACTCAAAGAGAGGTTAGGCATTGGAATAAGTTGCCCAGGGAGGTGTTGGGGTCACCTTCTCTGGAAGTGTTCAAGAGGCATCTGGAAGTGGCACGTAGGGATATAGTTTAGAGGTGATTATGGTGGTGCTAGGTTGATGGTTGGACTAGATGTTCTTGAAAATCTCTTCCAACACTGATGAATCAATGATTCTATGCAATATTTTTAATCACATGCTGACTTTGTCTTATAGCATGTATGAACTCACTATGGCAAATAAAACACTTTGTTATTAACCTCAAAAAATATATTAATAACACACCTTTGATATATTTCTGATAGATCAGTAGTATGGCTCATTGACAGATTAATGGATTAGGGCATGTTGTGATTTTTATTTGAAAGGCAATTTTATAGAAGGAAGTAGACATTACCAACTTAACTTTTCAGACAAAATTGTTGCAAGAGTAGAAAAATACAGCACTATTAAAGGCGGTTTCTGTTGTTACTTGGAGCCCCAGGGCTGATTCCTGGGTGTCCCACTGCCCTACTGAAGACAGAAGCCCAGCTGGATGTGAGCAATATGAATTGTAGCCGGGAGCTGAGGAATAAAGTAAAATACCTCTTTCTTTATTGTGAAGTGTTATGATCAAAATAGCTCTATGTATTTCCTTCTGCATCTTTCCAGACTGTGTTAGAATAATTTTTTACAAGGCTCCTCCAGTGATTTAAGTGAGCAAGGCTGTCATCTGTCACCTTGCAAATTTTTGTCTCACATAAAAACATTTGTGCCCCGAAGGATCTGTGTGTTGCTGGGAAAACATGATCTTACTGGGAAATGTGGTATTAATATGGCTTAGGATAGTAGAGTAACACTGCATAGGATAATATCATTTCACCTTGGCTTCCTGCGCTCAGAAAAAAACTCAGAAGTTCCTGTAAGTGCTGCTAGACCAAAGAGCATCTTCCTGTAAGTGTGTGTAAGTTTTGTAATGGCTAGCACACCTCAAGCCAACCTTTCTTTCACCCACCTTTTGGTTGAAAATTGTGATTTGACATCTCATGGAGCTGCATAATTATCATCAAGTAAAATCTTCTTTGTGGGATGGATAGTGACTGGTCATTTCTTTTACAGATTATGAATACAGTAAAATAGGAAAGGTGAGTGGGTGCTGCAAGTGCATCAGGACACTCCAGCATCCATAATACAGATCACAGCTGTGCCGGTAAACAAAGCCTGGAAAGGGGAAGTGCTTTTATTGCAGAGAAAACCTGGTGCTTCTGATGTCAGAAACGTGAAATACTTGTCATATTGTGGCAAAAGATTGTAGGTTCATATGAAAGCATACCTGGCCTTTGTCTTAAACACTGAGTGGATGAACAAGAAGTGGGGAGGATTAGATTAGTGCCAGCCCAGTTGTTTCAGTGATCCTACATCAGTTTACCCTAAAAAGGAATATTAAAAATCTCTTTTTGACTTAATATCAGCTGCTCACTTGTTAAAGCTGCAGGATTTTTCACATGAATTTACATTGCTTTTATTGTACAGATGTTTCTTGGGCCATATTAATCAAATACTCTTTTCAGAATTATGAGATGGTCCCAGTTACACTTTTATATTGGGTATTGATACTTATCGCAGGGAACATTTTCTGATTCACTGTATTCATTAGTCTTGCAAATAAATGTTAAGTTTCTTCACTGGGAGTTAATGTCCATTCAGCTTTGTATGAAAGTGAGAAAAGAGGAATAGTTCTCAGTTACTAATGATTTTTTAGATCTTATGTAGGTGTTTCTGCCTTCCATGTATCTGCCTTCCATCTAATCCATCCATCAAGTGCAAGCTGGCTGGGACATAATTTAAAGTATTGTTGGGGCAATATTTCAGATTTTAAAAAATTTATTAATTCATTGCAGGTCTCTAGGTTCTTATGGAAGCCAAAAATATATATCCTGAAAACATCTCTGCTCGTGTCTACAGTAAAAGCACAATAAGCCTTTAAAGAAATTCAATTTATAATTCATGTTAAAAAACCTTATTGAGATTATAGGAGGGGCATATTGCCTGTGCTATTTACACATCCACATTAAGATTTCTTAGTAGAATTCTTAGCACTGAGAATGGGGGGCTGGTTAGCTGAATATAAAAATTCAGGTCTTGACCATAAATCTTCTGGTATGTATTTAAGGCAAGCCCTGAATATGCTTTGGGGAGCAGGGGGAATGAATTGTTTGTATCCCAGTTGGCAACTCTTATGTTGTTTTCTTTAGTGGTTCCTCACCAGGTGATTTAGTTCCCAGCCCATGAACTTCTGATGTGCTTATAAAATCTGATTTACGTAAGTGGGATACAGAGTAGGAAACAGGAATGTGCTTTGTAAGGCTTGCAGACCCAAATGTGACACTGATGAAGTTATATGTGAGGGCTGAAGTTCTGGGAGGAGCTTTTCTCCAATGAGGTTTCAGGTGTAAATGCTATGGCTGGAGGCCTGTACCCTGCACTGCCCTGGGAGACCAGAGGATGGTCTCCATGTATTCCATGCTGCCAAGCATACCTGTTTTGTGCAATGTTCTCTGTTGTATTTTATTTACTTGATAAAATATAGATTTGTTTAATTTTTTTTTCCTGTATGTCTCTGGAGTCAGTGGGTTTGCTTACAGAATAAGGCTCTGTTAGCCTAGATAAGGATAGTGCAATTCAATCCCACTTGCAGGTATGTTTATTATTGCAGTAAAGTAAAGCTAGAAATGGAATACAGTTCCTCAGGGTTCAGTAGCTATGAGAAGTCTTTGAAAAATGATAAATAGCTTCTAATTAGATGAATGATGTTTCATGAAAATGATAAATACTTTCTAATAAGCCCTTTTCTCCATGGGGGTTTATACAGTAGGTTCAATTTTGAACATCTGAGAAATTTACAGAATTGTAACCAGAAGTATGTTCATATATTGAGTAAGCTGTGTGAACTGAAGTTTGTTTGTTCATGCCAGTCATTGAATGAAGAAAATTAAAAAAAAAAAAATTGTCTCGATTTTATTTACTCTGGCTACTTCAGTTTTCCTCCAGGGTGTAGTTAGAAGAAAGAAGAGCCTGAAAATAATCTCCTGAATATTTTAAATATACTCAATATGAAAGTTGATCCATGTGTCCCACTTTGAATTATACAGTAATCTCAATATAATAATTGTGGACTTTGCAGCAGGGGAAAAAAAAAAAGTGGGTTTTTTGCATTCTAGGATAAAATAACATTTTTTTTCCCCGTCCTGAACCTTTCTAATGATATTTAGAAGTAGATAAATTGACCAATAGATGACTTTTAAGATATTTGGTATAGCCTCAGCACAATTCTGTGCCCCTGACATAACTATAAAAATATGAGATAAAGAAAATTGTTGTTAGAGAAGGAAAATGCAGTATTTTTTTTCTTTCCTCCCCCACAGGACATTAATGTATGTATCCTTGAAAACTACCCTGAATGTTCCAATCCCAGGTTATTTTACATCATACCATATTTCTGTGGACAGCATCCAAGATGCAGGTAAATATATGCAAGGTATTCCAATTTGTTCAGCAATAGCTATTGCCAACATTTTGTCAGAAACTGGTGATAAAGAAGCGATAGTTACTTGAACTACAAGAGAAAAATGTAAGTACAATAAATGTAGCACTGTATGTCATAACTGCATGCATATATTTTGAAGTAAGGAGGGTAATGCAAATGTAGCATTATTCTTTCTTCTTGGTTTATAACATGAATAATTCATCAAATCTGAATGTATTCACATGGATTTTTTTTCTGGGTTGGCAAGGTGAGAATGGTAGTTACTATATGTGCTCATTACTCATGTTATCTGCACTGTAATTTTGTAAGAGATCTTTTTGATCTGATCAGATGCTTGTATCAGGTCTACATATGAGGAATTACAGGTTTCTCTGTCCATGTAAGAAACAGTAATCGTGTTTAAATCTGTGTAAAATGCAGCCTTCTACTGCTGTAATTGACTAGCTCATTTTTAACGTCTGTGTATGCCATTGTCATATTGCTGTGTTAGTGATACTATAGTAAACTTTTATGCAATAATATGTGAATAATTGTAAATAACTTCTTGTTTTCAAATACTTCTATATTATTGGTCACAACATGTTCTTTATAAAGTTTGTTCAACTGCAAGGTATTCTGTTTCTTTATTGTTCAGGCTTCTCCGTAATGAAACAACTGCACATTTTCCAACATTTCTTTCAACAACCATACTTTTTATAGCAGTAATAACAAGTGAAAATGTGTTCCTTCTTATGTCTTAGTTTCTAAGTATCTGTGTTGTAAAATCCTGCCTTTTTTTTTTTGGCATAAGTGAAGTTATGTTTAAGAAACAAAACAGATTAATGACTTCATTTTCATTACACACATTACACACATTTTTTTTCTTAACATATTTTGGCCTTATTTGCAAATGCTTATGGTTGCACATTTAGCTTGTGTGCATGAGTAATCCCATTAACAGCAGTCACCTGAATATTTTCATGGCATATCTCCATGAGGTTCCCAAGCAGTATATTGAAGTACTGTTTTGTAGCTTGTTATAGTTCTGTCTCCTATCATGCCCTTGCATTTCCTTCAGCTACTTCTTAGTCTCACAAGGAACTGCAAAGAGGAGGCTGATAGTGTTTGTTAGGACACTTTGCTCTTCCAGAATATGGATCAGTGCACAGAAGGTGGTAGAGCATGAAAAGTCTGCTATAAATCTGCTCTAGTAGGAGTGTAAAGCAATAAACTTTTTCACGTCATCGAAAGAGCTTCAGACAAATGTTGTGTAAATTTACTATTGCATAGAGTTCACAATAGACTAATTGTCTATTAGGGAAGAGGTGTGATTTCCAGCCACTCACAGGTAGCATATGTGACTCAGATGTTCATCATAACAGCTGGATCCTGTAAAAAAGCTGATTTCCTTTAGTTTGAGACACTGGCATTATATCCCATATCGATATGAATGATGACTGCTACTCCCAGGACATAGCTAATATGAGTTAATGTAGGAGATTTGGGATTCATATAGTTATCTAACGAAATTGTCCTTCTGAAAAGTATGAAAGAAGCATAAAGACGTACTGTAGTCCTGCCAGCTTCTCCCGCTGAGAGAAAAGATAGAAGAACCCTAAACTGATCTTCAAAACCAGTTATCAGTCAGAGCAAACAAATGCAAGTCCTGTATTAGAGCTGCAGGGCAGTCAGGGGTAATGGCAGGAAAAGGGAAGCTCATGGAACTTCAGCAGACATTAAAATGAAGGACAAGGTGAAAAACAGCCCTGTAGTCTCCTGTGTAGGATTCACCAAGTAACAGCAGACAGTGGTTGCTCACAACAGTTCTCCTGATGTGGTTCTGAGATACTACCACCCCTCAGCACCTGTCACCACCCAGGGCAGTCATTGCTGCCATCAGAGGGGTCATGCTTCTGAGTTAAAATCCTGGAGTTCACAATTTTGAGCTTATAAACAACTTGGCAACAGATGTCTTCAAAATGGAGTACTTTCATACAGTGATTAGCCTGCTTTTAATGTGATCGTGTTTTTCCATGCCAAACCAATTCTAGAGGTTGTGTGGAAAAGCTCAATAAGCTACTTGGGTTTGGTGGGGTTTCTTTTATGTTCTGTTGGAAGTACAGCTCTGAATATTTTTTTTTAATGCACTTGTGTTCTTGGCTAGAATTTCTGAAGTAAATGCATATTTAAACTTTTCTTTTTCCATTCTACATCTATCTCTCTCCATCAATTTCATACAGGGAGCCTGGTGAATGGGCCCTTGAAAGAGCAAAGCTGAACGTTAATGAAAATTTTCTGCTTGTGGGCATTCTGGAGGAGTTGGAGGATGTGCTGCTTTTATTAGAAAGATTCTTACCTCATTATTTCAAGGATGTGCTTAGCATCTACAAAAACCCAGGTAACTTTTTCCATTAAAATGCTATTCTTACAGAAACTTTGGCAAAATCTGCATGACTGCTGAAAGGTACATGTTTCTGCCTTGTTAAGTCAGTGAAGAGGTTTTTCTTCCTTTTAGGGAGCAGATTTGATTGATGGGGAAGGTCACATATTCTGCTTTTATCTTTAATGTTACTGTGTGGTTTTCATTCCTGGGCAAGCACTTGTTGCTCAGTGATCTTGCCATATGCCAGAAAGCTTCCCATATACCGCTGGAGTGGCTTTTTCTTTTTTTAATTCTATCATACTCAGCTCTCAAATAATACTGTCAAAATATTCTTAAAATGGTGTCAGCAATATCTACCTAAGTCAATCTTCAAGAAATTGTTTGGGGAGCTGGACACTTCAGAGATTCTCCACTACTGCTACCATTTATTTTCCCTCAGCTTTGACTAAGAGTTGAAATGAAGTGAACCTTCAGTTAAACTGAGTTTAGGTAAAGTACGAATAAGAATACGTATGACAGCACTATAAGTACAAAACATACAGAGAAAAAAGACTTAGGAGACTTGAGTAGAGAAATGAAAACAGAGAATACTCAATCTACTCCTTAATTTGCACACACAGCCAATCTGAAAGGCTTCTCTCTCTGTCAGTTCATCCCTCCCAACACTTATTTATTGCTGAGTTCTTTAAAAGGCAGTCTTGTGTCTTATGCCTAAAAATAAATTTGATGCTTCTGGAGGACTGTGCATGTCATTCCAACAGAATTAATTTCCTGCTTACATTTGACTGGTGCATCAACACTGTATGAACCAGGCAGGGGTAAAACTTCTCTTCTTGCTTGGTGACTCGAATGCATTCATGTCAGTGTGAAATGCCTGCAGTGGTTAAATGCGTGTTTTGTACCGAGTTGAATATTAAAAGCATATGGAACAAAGATGGAATTTTATTTGTAATGCATGCAGCTGATGTCTGGCTTCTGACTGAGAGCGGCTTTTACAGTAGTCAGTCACTTTGGAGAAACTATGGGTTTCTGTCCATAACCAAGAGTTATGCATGACTGTCCACCAAACCCTTCTTCTAGGATGCATCTTTGAAAATTTTATATTTGGCAATGATACAGATACTTCAGCGAAAGTGTAATATTGCTTCTCTGAACATCATTTCAGTGGGTCATTATCTGCTTACAATAAGGCAGTTAAGGCAACTCTTTGGAAAGTGGAAGTTTTACTTTCTTGTGGTACTATATCCAGCCATAGAGCAATTTTGCCCAATAACAGACATAAGGAGAGTATAGTATGGTACTGACATGACAGCAATGCCCAGTTTTGGATCAGTTATTTCTCTTTTCTTCATAAATTAAAATATAAAAATACTGGTGTTTGTAATATGGGGAAGTCATCATAAAGGTTTGCACAATTTGGTCTTCAAGGTTTTACCATAGGGATATTAGGTGAGAGAGAGGCAGGGGGATTAATAGAAGGACATGGTCTCTCTGCTATCGGCAGACTTTTCTTAGAGAATTTGTAGGACTTCCTCAGCTGTTCTGTGCACCATAGATTTTCACTTCTCTTACAATGGGGGAAGCTAATAAGGAGCACGCAAGGTTTTGGTTTTCATCAGGGTGCCCTAGACATTGTCAGGTGGGAAGTAAGCAATCTGCGAAAGTTCATTAAGTGCTGGTTAATCTTTCTCTGCTCTGTGTATATTCCAGGAGGAATGTATCGATATCTGGAGGAAATTTGATCACCTCTTTCAGGACAGTGATTTCCTCTGAGATTTCATGTGTAAGACTGGTCTGGTGTCATATCTAAAGATTCACCACTTTCCTTCAGTATTTCCTATGTGTATTAAACTTTTGTTTTATCTTTTCCATTCACTTATTGATAATGAAGATTAGAAAGAAAATAGTTTCCTTGTGTTGACTCTATCCTCCTCTTTTCATACAGGCATATGTTTGGGGCTTTTTTCCAATCACAATTATTTTCAGGTTATTTCTGAGTTGATGCTGATGCTTACAAAATACTTAACAGAAAAATAAAAAATATCTAAGTGTTGTGTAAGAAATCCTATATTATGCTCGTCAGGACATCTTAGCCCTGATCTACAACACCCTCTGCTGTTGCATCATGAAGTGCTTGAAAGAGGAGATGTTATTCTGCCAGTTGTGTGGTAATCCCACAAAGCAACAGATACTTTGGATTAAAACTGACCTTTGGTTGCAACTAATACTTGCAGATTACATCTATAACGTTTACAGTATTGTCTGCTGATCTGCTCCACCTGAGATTCTCTTATGGCAGTCTTTCCTGTTTCCGTATAAGGAAAGTTTTTCCAGAACTTATCTTTTGTCAGTTGAATACAATGAGATGAGAAAAACACAGTGAAGGACCATGTACAGAAAGGTGATTCACTTCCAGGTCTGTGAATCTCTGCATCAGAGTCCACTGCAATAAGCAGTTCTGGATTAGACACAATTCAAAAACTGGACTTGGAGAGCTACCTTGAAGCAAAAAGTAGCTGAAGCAAGACAATTTCCATCCAGTGTTGCTTTTAGTGGATTACATAGATTTGAAATCAGAGTAGGAAATTGGGAATTGCTGTCCCACCAACATCATAAATCTAAACCACATTAAAAGCACCTACCTCTTGCTATAGGAAGCAAACTGCTAGATGTTATCAAACCTATAAAATCACATGGGCATTTAAGATATGTCTGCGGGAGTTGTGGGTTAAACTCCTGCTTCCCAAAGTTGGGACCCTCCTCGCCTGTTACAGGTGCTTTGGGTCGTCACCAGATCACTATGGCTCCCATCCAAGCAAACTTCTTATTGGGAGTCTTCAGTGATGCTATAGAAATCAGGAAATCTAGAAACTTTTTCTCATCTCTGTTTCTTTCAACCATGCAATCCATATTCAAAGTTTTTTGTTTCTTTTGTATCATCTGAGACACCACAATAACATTTATTAAGAAACTCATTCTCAGTGTTCTCCCAGCTAGGAAACAAAGGCTGTAGTCATTTTATCTTCAAAACTACTTTGCTGCTATTGTTCTGAAGCAGAAGAACAGTAAAACTATGGCTCTATGGTCCAATAGATAGCAGGACATTTTCATCAGAGAGCACAGAAATGTGATTGCAGGTATATATGTCTGTATGTGTAATGACACAGATAACTGCTAAATGCAATATTACTTGAGTGCTTTTCTCAGTGATGCTAATGATTTGTCTTACATAAGCTGGCAGAAGAAAACTGTGAAGAAAGGTAAAATATTTTGAAAAAAGGTGGCAGTTCTGCCTGACAGAAAATTTTAGTGTCAGAGGACACTAGGAAGCTAACTTTCTTTATTGCATTAATAAAATGGTTGCCTTAAGCTAATCCATATGCCAGATATTTTTACTTGTGTGTTTTATAACCATGTGCAAGAAAATGTGAAATCTCTTTGTGGTGCTAAGTTTTTCATTGGAACAAATCTGGTTTTATCTTATAGAATACTTTAGAGCTACGCACCTCCTGTTTTTCTGCTTCTCCACTCCCTCCTTGAAATTAAGTATTTTCTTAATGTTGATACCAAGTCAAGAATTACAAAGGACTCTCTTTTTTTTGTTCTTGTCCAAAGGCTTGTCCAAAATGACAAACTTGTCCTGCCTTGACCAATTGGACTTTGATCAAAAGGGCATGGATGGGGGCAGCAGATAGATTGTAGAATAGATAGATGGATCAATAGCTGGGTAGAATAAATGAAGAAAAAAACCCCATATTACTGTGTTTAATAGCTTTCTTTGCTAACACAGTGAAATATGCTGAAAATTCTGTCTTTGTTTCCCAGCACTGAAGCAGATAGGATCTAGTTGTAGAGCCTTGGATTATATTTACTTCAAAATTTAGAAGTATTCCTTAACTCTTTGAGAGGCCTGAAATACTTATAACAAAACTTTACATGTAAAATCTCTCCTCACTCTCAGGAGCACAACTGAAGGAAAAAAAAGTTGATCAGTCCTGTTCATTTTTGCTGTCTGTAGTCAATATAGTTCACTTTTGGTAGTGAGCTACTGACTGGTAGCCAGAATGCAGAGAATACTTAGTTTATTTTGAAATGGGCACATGTGTGTTTCATATCTTTGTGTTTTTAAGAGGCAGAAAATGTGCACTATACTCAGCAAAACAGAATTTACTTCTACCTCGTCAACTTCTGTGGCATGGGGTAAAAGTTAATAGCACCTAATGTAAAAGAATAGGCAATAAAATTTTTTTTATCACCTCAGAAATAACCCATATCCTCTCACCTCTCTGCTAGAGTTCATAAATTTTCTTTGGTACTAGGAGCCCTATAAAAATACTTCTTCTCAAAACCAGAAAAAAAATATAAATCTTTGTTTCCTGAAAGTTCCATTTTGTGTGGAGAAGGCGTAGATCTTACTCTACAGCAAAAAGACTGACTTAATCTTTTCAAACAGTGAATTTTATTGAGTGCAAAGAAATAAGTCATGCTGTCAGCTGAAAGAAAATATATTGTTCAGGTGAACTAAAATGTGGGTTTTTTAAAAATGCAATGAAAATCTGATTCTTGGAAGAATCGCATTTACAGGGAATGTTTTAAACTGTAGTAGTAATATTATCCCAGGTGATATAAACCTGCTCATTTTTTAAATCCATTCTCTTCATGAATGCTAGTGGCACAGTTGACATTTTCGATTGATAAACTTCCTCTTCTCTTTAAACCCAGTAAGGAGAGAGATACTGCCATTTGTCTTTATTGTAAGGCTAAGGTCCTGTGAGGCAGGACCCTTTTTGATGGAGTTAGGAAAAAGGTGGCATCAGCCTCAGCAGTCTTTGAACTGTGCTGAAGATCGCTTCTGTGCTAGGTCAGCACTGAAGGGGGATATGCTTTCAGATGGTTCCTGTGCTGGAAGTGGAAAAGAGCATTTTCCTGCTCCTTGTGAAAATAAAACTCTTTGCAAGTTGGAGAAAGCTGAGAGAGGCTTTTCTTTCTTACACCATCTTCCAGGACATCACTTT